ACCACTGAGCCAAACAAGTTTCAGCAAAGATACATTTTTAAAAAGACTAATTAAACAGCCTTGGCCAGTGTGGCTTATTTGGTTGGTTGGTTGGTTGGTTGGTTGGAGCATCATCCCTGTACAACAAAAGGTGTCAGGTTCGATTCCCAGTAAGGGTATGTTTGGGAGGCAACCAACTGATATTTCTCTCTCATATATATATTTCTCTCCCCCCCACACACACACACTTTCTCTCTCTCATTCTAGCTCTCTTTCTCTCTCTCCTCTCCCTCCCTTCCTCTCACTAAGGTAGATTAAAAAAATACTAATGAAAATTACTTACAATGCAAGATCTTGGATTGGATCCCGAGCAGAAAAAGTACATTAGTAGGACATGATACAATTTGAATAAGGTCTGGAGATTACTTTTTTTCCAATTAATTTCCTATTTTGAAAATGGTGCAATGGTAATAAAAGATAACATTTGTAGAAACTGGGTGAAGAATACTATATAGGAACTCTTTATAGTATTTTGTTGCAACTTTCTCATAACTGAAAGTATGTCAAAATTAGTAGTTGGAGAAAATTAAAAATAAATTTTGCTATGGCGAAGCAAAATTTACTTATTACAATATTGGTTTGTGGGCAGAGTAAAAAAAAAACATATTAATAAAAGAAAAAACTTTACTCTTGAAGTTAAGATTAGGCAAGCAAACCTTGCCTTTGATTAGTCGTGTGCTAGATTATTCAAGCATTTCTTAAAAGCACATTCTAAGCTCTCAGCATTTATTTTATTACCAAAAGTTGAAGGTCAGAATAGTAATTGTATGTGAAAATATTTAGGTGGTCCTGTTCTGTTCTGAAACAAAACGAATAGACCTCTGCTGGGAACTGTTTTTAGTATAACAAACACTAAATACAATGGCCTTTTAGGCCAGCAATTCCCGGGTGGAAGGCAGGTGGAAAAAGGAAGTTTTCCATTTGACAGTTTTCCAAATCCCTCTCCTTAGAAAGTATAGGTTAGGGAAGGAATCTAGTACTTTTCCCTGTTTGGTCTGAAAATATATATCACCTCTAATGTAGTGAGTTCATTTCCAGGGTTAATGAAGAAATCCTGCAGAACTCAGAAGCAACATGTTGAAAAATAATTGGAGCCACTGGAAGAAGAACATTTTACATGTCGCATAAGAATATAAAATGTTATACAGTATTTTAGTAATTTCTTAAAGAGATATACAAGAAAAATAATTGAATAACTAGTAGCTTTTTTAAATTGGGGGTTAACCCATATTTACCACTACCTCTACCAAATTATTTAATTAGCTAAAAGTTAAAATACTCACTCCATAAAATCTACTGGTATATTGTTCTTTTTATTTCAGAGAAATCAGCATTATTGAACTAGCACTTGAGAACTAGAGCTGTCTGAAATTTATTTGAGGCCAATATAAGAAGGAAAAATATTAGGATTTTTCTCCCATGTCCATATCCAAATCTAGAAGCCCTGGTTTTCCTTTGGGAAAAGAAAGAGGGGAAATACTCCTCGTTAAGAAAAGAAATAAAAGTCAGATGGCAGGAATGATATTCAAATTCAAAGGAAAATCAGAGCAAGAAGTGGCTAGAAGAAACTCTCCACCACCACCATCAAAGATTCACTAGTAAATGGGGCTTTGTCAAGAGTATTTGAATTATTTTATATAAATACTAGAGGCCTGGTGCACAAAATTCATGTGCAGATATGGTCCCTAGTCCTGGCCTGTGATCAGGACCATCTTCCCCGGCTACCTGCAGCCAGCCCTGCCCCCACCACCACCCACCCTCCGCGATTGGATCCTGATGGCCAGGGGAAGAGGGAACTATAGGTTGGCCATTCTGCCTGCTCACTGGCCCTGCCCCCACCCCTCCTGCCACCACCATTTACCCCAATTCCCCATTTGCCATCGAGCAATTGGAGCCTGCTGGCCAGGGAAAGGGACAAGAGGTGGTCAGTGCACCTCATAGTGACTGGTCCAGAGGTCGTTCTGGTTGTTCTGCCATTGGGGTTAATTTGCACATTATCCTTTTATTATTATATATAGGATAAAGGCCTGGTGCATGGGTGGAGGCTGGCCTGGGCGAGGGGCCATGGTCATTCTTGTCTCTGGTCATTCTGGTTGTTTTGTCATTTCAGTTGTTGGGCTTTTATTATGTAGGATTAAATGGAAGGAGGATCCAGAAATTTGAAACTTGGGTGAGAACGTTAGCCATCCTTAATGCTGCTGTGCACAACTGGGGAGTAACAGTGGGTGGGAGCAGTGGTTAAACAAGGGGATGGAAGGTAATCTAAAGTGTAGTGTTGGGAAGAATGATTATGAGGCTCTTGGAACAATAGTTCAGGTAGGTACTGATAAAGACCTGATCAAAGCAATGGCAGTAGGAGTGATGAGGAAGGTTAGAATGCCAAACATCTCAATTGTAAAATCAATAGGACTGGTGACTCCTTGACAGAGAAGCATGGTTGAGATACTTCCAACGTTTCTAATCATGAGTAACTGAGTGAACAATGCTGCAGTGATCAGAGTTTTAAAATAAAAAAGGAAGGTCTTGTGGGGAAAATGGTGATATCTAGTTGGAGATTTAGGAGATATCCAGAACACAACTGGAAATAAACATATATGCAGTATTTTGGAATTAAGCTGTAGCATGAATGAGAATTCCCAGAATGCATAGAGAAAAGAGAAGGGAAGAAGCTGAGCAAGGAAGCATGGTTGCCAAAAACATGTGAGAGCTGGGTAAAGAGAGAGGAGCCTGAGAGAAACAAACAGGAAGGAAGAATTTTATATAAATGCCAAAAAAAGAAGAAGAAGTCAAGAAATGAATAGTCACTGTTGTCAAGTGCTTACTAAGATAGTAGTAAAAAAAGAAGCTATTGGATTTGATGGGAATTATTAATGAACTAGAGGCTCAGTGCACAAAATTTGTGCATGGGGTGGGGCCTCAGCCCATCCTGCACCCTCTCGCAATCCAGGACCCCTTGGGGGATGTCCAACTGCTGGTTTAGGCCAAATCCTGCAGGGGACATGCCTCTCACAATCCAGGACCGCTGGCTCCTAAACGCTCGCCTGCCTGCCTGCCTGTTTGCTCCTAACCACTCCTCTGCCTGCTTGATCACCCCTAACTGCTTCTGCCTCAGTCCCCACCATGGCAGCTTTGTCCAGAAGGACATCCAGAATGACATCCGGAAGGTTGTTTGGCTGCCTGGTCTAATCAGCATATTATGCTTTTATTATTATAGATGGTGGAGGTAGAAACCAAATTGTTGTAGTCTAAGAAGTAAATGTCAATTAGAGCATGGGGATAGTAAATCAAAGCTCTTAGGAAGAAAAAGGTGATAGAGTAGTAGCTTGAGAGACAGTAATTGTCTACAAAGGAGTTTTGTTCCCCATCATAGCTCTAGGCACTATCTATTAAACACAGCATTTTCATTTATAAACCAGCTCTCTGGTGTACAAAACAGACGCTTCATTTTGGATGGGAAGAGGGCCTGAAGTGAAGAAAACAGACATTTCATAATCTATATTATGTTTTGGGATCATTGGTAAGAATTATCACTTTCCCCCGCCCCTCCCTGACCACACACACCCTAACTGTAGATTACAGAGGGGAAAGGAACTAAATGGCTGGCTGGTCCTGTCCTGAGTGCCGCAGTGCATAATCCAAAACAGAACTTTAGCTACCTTACTTTACAAAAAGATGTCGCTACTTGCCTTAGTTACTGTTACACATTTAATTTTTATTAGGTTACATATTTAATGTGGGAAACGTTGAAAAATTCTGTGATATAATAAATGCTTGCAACAGAACATAAAATGAAAAAAAAAAAGGCTACCATATTACATATACAGGGGAAAGAGGAAAATGTATAAATATAAAAACAAATACAAGCACAAAGTAGGAATACATACTAAAAGAAAACAAACTAAAATGATCATCTCTTTGAGCGGCAGAATTTGGAATTTTTGTTTTCTTCATCTTACTTTCCTGTGTTTTCTCAATTTTCTGTAATGAAAAATGCCTTAAAATCTCCATCAAGTCATGGGAATTTCTAAACACTAGCAACTTAAGCCCATTCTCCTTGTGTCAATAATAATAATAAAATAATAATAATAACTCTCTGCAATAGTAATTCACCAGACGTGAAGAACCCTCAGTCTTCTTCCCTCGAAACTTCTTTCTCCTCAACCTTACTGGTTGCTTCTGCTGCCCTGGGTTCTCTCTGACTCTTGCATTCTACAGGTGAGTTTTAAGAAGCAACCCGGAAAATAGAATGCAGAGAGGTTTGTTTCAGAGGAGCTCTGCGACCCTGTCTGTCCTCTGGAAAAGAGCTGGCTTAGGTCTCCGCTCCGCCAGTGACCACCTGTGGAGCATTAGAGACCTCCCTTCAGCTAGCCGCCCCGGCCTCGGTTTTCCCATCTTTGAAATGGAGCCAGGGGAATTTGCTGGGGGGAGGAAGGAAGGTTGGGGGGTGGGGGGGAAATACGTGGGGCCGGGCAGTGGGGAAGACAGTGGGTGCCGCAGGTCTCCGCAAATCGCCCGGGACAGGCTCCCCGGCGCTCGCCCTCACTCCGAGGGGCGGGGCCCGGGAACCTGTATTTGAGCAGCTCGCCGGGTGATTCGGGCGCTCAGACAGGTTCCACCGCCCTCCCGTGCGGGCTCACTCCTCCTCCTCCTCCTCCTTCTCCTCCTCCTTCTCCTTCTCTTCCTCCTCCTCCTCCTCCCCCTCCTCCTCCTTCTCCTCCTCCTTCTCCTTCTCCTCCTCCTCCTCCCCCTCCCCTCCGGGCCCCAGCCACTTCCCGTCCCCGCCACCGAAGGCGCCGGGGGAGGAGGGGAGAGGGGCGCCGCCAGGCCCGGCCCCGCACCCGCCCGCCTCCCCGCGGCGGCCCGGCCCGCGGGTTACATAACGGGCCCGCGGAGGGCTCTCGCGAGGTTTCCGCCGCCCCCTCCTCGCTCCACGTCAGAGGGAACCGGGCGGAGCGGCCAACATGGCGGAACGCAGGCGACACAAGAAGCGGATTCAGGTAGCGAAGCCGAGTCTCGGGGCCGGGGGCCCCCGGGCGCCGGAGGGCGGAGGGAGCGGGGGAAGGAGCCGCCTGGAGGGGCGAGCTGAGCGGGCGGCGCGGCGGGGCGGGTCCTGCCCCCCGGCCGCGGGCCGCGCGCGGCGGTGCTGTGAGGGGCCTGGGGGGAGGCGGTGCAGGCGGCGGCGGGAGCGGGGCGGCTGGGGGGCCCCCATCCCGCACCCCAGGCCCTCGCCTCAGCCGCCTCGGAGGGAGGCCGCGGTAATGAGGGGGGAGGCCGGCGGAGAGGGACGCACAGCAGCCGGGTCTTTGTGCGCAGACGGGGCTGTGGGAGGGGAGCCGTCTGGGTCTGGGCAGCTGCCCCGCGGGCCCGGGCGCCGACCTGCCTGCAGCCCAGCTGTTCAGTGGCGTGTATTCCCTCCCTGTTCTCCATGGCAGCCCTGGGGGAGCCCGGCTGGAGCTCCCCGGCTTGCTTTCAGGCGACACAGTGTAAACAAACACAGCCCTGCTGGCCCTGCGGCGAGCCGGTCGCGCCCAGAAACCTCGCAGTGTGTCATCTTCGTAACCTACATAGCATCATCCCTCCCTCGTCCCACACGTGTGTCACCTGGGCCTTTCATCCCTGCGGTCCCCCCGTCCGGTCCCTCCCAGCCTTCTTCCTGTTATTCTTGCTCTTTACCAAGAGGATTAGCTATGTTGCACCCCCTTAGCCTGGGGATGTTCCTTGTCTCACTAGCTCCAGTGCCTAGAAACCTTCACAGGTCATCACAAATGGATAGTATGTACTAATCACAGGTTGTTACACTTGTTGTCTTTCTGTTCCTTACTGTTGCATTGCTTAGAATGACTTTTTCTGTCTAATGTTTTATTCCCCCACCCCCACCCCCACCCCCACACACACATATTGAAAAGATAAACGACCTCTTCATTGGTCTCCATCACAGGTGACTTGAGCCTTTTGCAAGTTAGAATTCTCCTGAAAACTTTGAAATTTTGGAGTTGGGCAGAAATGCAGAAAGGTCTATAAACAGTTCTCTCCCGACTGCAGGCAGGTCATGAAAATCAAGGCTTAAAGTTATGAAAGAAGTTTCTAATTATACTATTTGTGGCCTTTCACAATTGAGTGTTATTGATCAGCTGTAAATATGGAAGATTTTTATTAGCATTTGTCTCGAATTTGTCAAATTTGTGCCTACTTGGCTCCTTGTATTTATACACATGCAGCATTTTATGGCTTTTCGTAAGCCATGTTTTTACTTATGTCAGTTTTTATAAAAGTGTTCTTAATTCACTTTTTGAATAGCTGCTCTATTTCGATTGTGATTTTTATCTTAAATAGAAAGGTAGATTAAGAAGCTGTGTGGTAGTGATGAGTGGTGAGGAACTAAAACTTGAGCCAGACTGCCTGTTTGTACCCATTTCACAAACTGTTAGCTGTGTAACTTTGGGCAAGTTACTTAACTTTTTACCTCAATTTCCAAATCTGTAAAAAAGGAATATGTACCGTAAAAAAAGGGGGGTGTGTGTGAAAAAAATGCATTAAAAGAGTGTTTGGCACAGAACTCCTTCCTTTCCCTTCTTCCAAGTATGAAGGATTTATGATGGCTTGTTTTGGTTTTTATTAAGTAATCTGATATGCTAAAGAAAGATTAACTCCTGCTGATTCATTAAGTAAACCATTAGACTGTGAATAATGTATAGGTTTTTACTTCCTATTGTGTATTTGAAGACCAGATAAGTATGTGAGGATCTGATTGTTAAAAATCAGCTTGGCATGCTGCTAAATCAAACTAATTTTTTTCATTATAGTTTTCTAGATGTAGTTTGCTAGAATATTGTGAAGATCTTGGGAGTACTACTTGGAAGACTATTGTACAGTCTTAATAGATAGAATAGATAATACCTTAAACAATTTCTTATTTATCCAAGAGATTCAGAAACTATCCTATTAGCATCACTTTAGACAGAGATACCCTCAGATTCTGTATCCCATCAAAGTTGGAAGCAAGACTATTTTGTCACATTTTCTTCTTGGATTCACTTTACAGGTCACTGAACACCAGAAGAAAACTGCATGTATGCATTGACATTATATTGGAAAATGCTTAATGATTGAGATTCTCAAATAAAAGTAATCTCAATCTAAGTTGATGAAACATTTAAAAATAATTTTGTTCCTTAATGCAATTACATAAATTTTTAAGGGCATACAGTAAGTGCATATAGGTTAAATGAAAGTGCCGCTTACCAGAAAGGTTTAATTTAGAATCCTAGTACAGTACCATGAAATTTTAGAGTTCACAAGAATTTTCAAATAGTAGGGTTTGTTTGGAATCCTTTTGCACAAATGTGGGTGGTTCTTATTTAAAAGCAGAGTGATGGCCCCAAAGCCTTATCACTTAAGTACCTCACTACTGTCACCCCTACATCCCACTGTCCTTTAAGCTATTTTTAGGACCTTAATCAAAAATATTACTAGGTATACAACTTCCTGCTCTAAACCATTATACTTATTTTCCAGATAAACTGAGGTTATGTTTCTTCACCCAGGATCACTCATCAAGATAGTAAAACCAGATTTAGACCAAGTGTTTTAGTTCTCAGTTGAATATTCTTTCCACCTCACCATTGATAAAATAAAAATAAATTGTTCTGAAATACTTTAATCCTAAACTTTATATTAAATTGTATAATATACTTAACATGACTTGCCCATGCTAATGAGAAAATTATCCCACTAATATTCTGCTTATGGAAGTATCTAATTGAGTTTTAGAAAATGAAATGGCTTACTAATTCCTAGAACTTTTATCATCTGCATCTCATTTAATTTGGTTGCACCCAGCTGTATCCTGGAAATAAAATTCTGCCTTATCTTGGGCCAATAGGCTTAATTTCAGAAAAGAGAAAGTTTAGGGATATATAATGACTCCCCGGGGCCTTCTGAAGAAAGAAGAAACCCAGGAAGTAGGTCCTAAGTGAGAACTATCCCAGAAGTTCAATGGAGGGCTTACAGTAGGAGTGAAGCAAAGAGGGTATTACAGAAGGCACTGTCAAAGTTAAGATACAGAGACTTGCCAAACTTTATTAATGTGCTGTGTAGTCAAATGATTAATCTAAGGTCCCCTCCAGCTTTCAAATTTTATTCTGTTAACTTCTGAAATTTTGCATTTTCACAAATATTTTTATAGTACTTGTATTAAGATACAAATTCAGTTTGTGAACTAACCTTTTTCTTTTTTTGCTCAATTCACTCGACAATTCAATTCAGTTGATTTCTATTGACTAGCAATTTTTAAAATTCTTCTAAATTAAAACTTATGCAAGATTGAATGAAGCCTGAGGCTTACTGACTTGATCTAATATTTTTTCTCTAAAAAAAGATTACCTTAAGTTCTTAAATACTGGCTATCTATATAAATAAAAGAGTAACATGCTAATTAGACCGGATGTCATTCTGGACAAAGCCGGGGTGTGGTTGGCCTGCAAATCACTGGTGGCCCCTCATCCTGGCCAGCCCCACCCCCAAGCGGGAATCCCCCCCTTTAGGGTAGGCCAGCTGGCCCCCAACCGTGCACCAGGCCTCTCTCCTATATAATAAAACGGTAATATGCAAATTGACTCTTACGGCAGAATGACCATTGGACCAGTCACTATAAAACACACTGACCATCTCTTGGTTCCTTCCCCTGGCTGTCAAGCACTGATCACCCCAATAGCGAATGGGGAACTGGAGGTGGATGGTGGTGGGGGTTGGGGCTGGCTGCGGGCAGCTGGGGAAGATGGCTCTGATTGCAGGCCAGGCCTAGGGACTGTACCTGTGTGCCGGGCCTCTAGTATATATATATATAGAAAAGGTAATTCTTATCTCATTATAGTATCTGAGTGTTGATGTAGTCCAAAGTAAAAGTAGCCACGGGAGCAGACTCTGCCGACCTCCTTGGCTCTCGAAGAAGACATGGGTGAAACAGTAATGCAGTGCTGGGGCTGGGGAGTAGAGGGATTGAGCAAAAAGAAAAAAGGAGAACTTATGGACATGACAACAGTGCGGTAACTGCAGGAGTGGTGGGAGGTAAGGGGGTGTGGAGAAGGGCATAGAGGGAATAAATGGTGATGGGAAAAAATAAAATTTAGAAAAGAAAATGGAACAAAGTAAAAATAGTATTTGTTAAATAACTTGAGAGTATTCTAACCAGACTTTCAATTTATATAATTTTGGATTGTGAGTTACAGCAGCTAGCATCTTGGTATTTGAGTGCAAAGATGATAGTCTAGCCTCAAAACATTGGTTCTTCACTTCCTCATTCTAAGACATTTGAGCTCATCCATTGAGCTATATAAAGTTCATTTGAGGGTTGATGAGTTGGTTTCTCCTATTGGTGGGTCCTGCCATTCTCAAAAAGCCTTCACTTTTTGTTAGGTTTCTAGAAAAGTTACAAAATTTTCTGAAGCTTTGTTCACATCAAAAGGAAATAAAAGGGGACATGCTGTAGTCTATACATAAACAGGAAGAGGGTAAGACTTTTATACTCTTCAGGCTGCAGTAGGGGAGCAGTGGGAGTGAAGCCTCCATGGCAGGATCTTCGGTATTACCAGCTTCATGGGCATGTTCCCAGGGGCATGTTCCCTTGGCAAATAGCACTCAGTCTTTCTGGCTTCAAAGCCTCAGCAGGTGGCACAAGTTCTATACTTTCATTAAAGACAGCCTACAATATGTATAACTTATATGTGGTATAATGAACATTTATTTTATAATTTACAAAGGAAAATAGAAACTTAGGATTTGAAAGTAAAGGAGCAAGGAAGGTGTCAGTTCTGTTAAACCAATATCTTGATAGAATTCACTAGTTACAGTTTCAAGCGAAGATACTGATACTTTAAGTATAAATGGATAAGTAATTGTGATAGATTAGTTGGGATAGATTATCCAAACCCATGTTTTTTGGGTCTGTTCTGTTCATTGTTGCTTAGTAGCTCATTGTTACTTTATTAAGGAGGGAAAGGAATGAAAATAGATTACAGTTGACTCTTAAACTACATGGATTTGAATTGTGTGGGTCCACTTATACACAAATCTTTTTCAATAAATATGTTTCCCTGGATTTCATGTGTGTGGATTCAAGCAGTGGATCCACAGTTTTGACTGTATGCATTTATTTATCTGTGCCATTTAATATATAGAACTTGAGCATCCAGTGATTTTGGTATCTGTTGGGTTTTCCCCCATGGATGCCATGAGACAACTGTAACGTTTTGGGGTAGTCAAAAATTATATACAGATTTTCAGCTGCACAGGAGTTCTACCCTAACGCTGACATTATTCAAGGGTCAACTGTACTTAAATCTGTTTTGCAGTGTGGGAATGACTTTGGTGAACTTTAAGTTAATTGTTAAAATGAGGTTTAAAAATGTTGTGAATTCATGTAGTATCAGATTCCCTATTGTATAAAACTAGAATGGACTTTTCAGTTTCTTATGTATCTTAATATGAGGTTTTACATGTTGATGCCTCCATCAACAATCAGTAGATTAATGCATTTATGCCTGTGTTCAGTAAATGAGTGTTAGCAGGAGTGTAGACTTGTCATGCCTAAAATTGATATGATTTTTTCCCCCCAGAATTACCTTTCTCCCAAATTTCTGTTATTGGAAAACTGTACTTTCAGATCAAATTAGAGGTCTGACATCTTTGATTCAGCCATTTCATTCATCCTTTATCATAGAGTCCTATCTGCTCTATATTTGAAATGTTTCAAATGTCCTCAATTCTTCTCATTCCTAGTCTAGAATGACATCGTGTTTTACTTGAATGCTAATTAGTTGAAATTTCTCAAACTGTCAGGAAGAATCTTTAGCCCTGTTCTGCTTTAACTTACTAACATACTTAGCCTCACAATGCTTCCTAATTTGTTTCTATTTGGAGCCAAATTTTGTGCTCATTCTCAGCCATAATGTTTATGTTGTCTGTTCAACTTACCCCAAACTTGTTCTTTTTTGAAAATCAAGCTCCCTTTTCCAAAAGGTCTTCCATAGATATTTTTATCCACTTCATAATTCTCCTAAAACATTTTTTTCCTACAACTTATTTTGAAAAATAATAATTGCTGTTTTAGATAGTTGTAACAAAGTATAGGTATCATGCTTTACAGAATTTTGGCATTAAGTGTAGCACCCCAAGATAACATAGGTCAAACACTCAGTAAGTATGTATTTGAATGATTTTTGTTTATTGAGACTTCTAACCCACAATAATTTTTAATGAAGCATATCCATGACAACTTACCAGTTAATTAGATAAATCTTTAAATTTTCAAGAGATATGTCAAATTAGGGGGGAAATGAACAGATATGGATATGATTATAAAATAGAATTTTTTATAAGCCAATTATAGTATCTCATTATTTTCAACTATTTATAATAATACTTTTTTGATTGTATCACAAATATACAGGATATTAATTTCTAACCCATGAGACTTCTGGAAGTGCAGTGTATTCCACAGGCATAATTAAGTACTATCATTCAACATATGAAACAACATGTTAGTATATTTTACTGTGATTTCAAAAATTGCAGTATAGAATTTTCACTGTTTAGCATGTCAGAAATGTATTTTGTGATTAGGCTCCAAACCAAATCATTATGAACCTTTTAGATGTTAGTAAGCTTAGAGTGTTAGATTTTGAATTTAAATATTTTAAGATTTTATTTTTCTGTGATACATATCTATATTAATAATAGAGGAATATGCAAATTGGCCAGGATGCCATCACTCAATGACCAAACTGGATGGGGGCAGGGCCATGGCAAAGAGCTCTCAGCATGCCTGCCTGGGAACCCAAAGAGCGTGGAGAGGAAGTGAGAGAAGATAGGCAGTTAGGGGGATCAGGCCAGGAGGGGAGTGCAGATATGCAGTTAGGGGAATCAGGTCAGGAGTTAGGGGCATCAGGCAAGCAGGCAGGAGAACATTTAGGAGCCAGTGGTTCCAGATTGCGAGAGGGATCCCAGATTGGAGAGGGTGCAGGCCAGGATGAGGGACAACCCCCTCTCTCCCCACTCCGTGCACGAATTTTGTGCACCAGGCCTCTAGTTTTTTATATATAAAGCAAAAGGTTTTGTAGTTATATAAATATTTGGGTTTTACTCTAGTCTTTATTTGTATTGAATAGTTTGGGCTTTTAATTTTTATTGACACAAATTATAACCTACAAATGGGGTAGTAGCAGAGTGTAAGAATCATACACTGACAGTTGGGCTACTGGAAGTAGAGCTTGAAGTTCAAAGGAAGAAATATGAGAAGTAGCTGCCAGGTGACTCAACTAAAGCACAGGCTTTTACTTCATCTAACAAATCACCCCTTTCCAGGATAAAATTAAAGCTGAAACCTTGGTTGGTTACTTGTTCCTTAGCACCATCAAACATAGCTGAATTCAGTCTTATCTGTAATGTGTGGGAAAACTGACTCAAAAAACAGATGGTTTAGGTAGTTTATTTTTTTCTATTGTATGTTAGTAGAATGTCTTGCCTGAAATGTAGGTATCTTTAGCATTAATTGTTCTCAGCATCCTAGATTTTTAGCAAATTTATTCATTTAGAAACAGACTTTCCTAAAATTAGTCACATTTAGATTATATATTGTTTAGAAATATTGTTTGTGTGTTTTATGTATTATACTTAAACATGTACTTAAAGACAGTACTTTTTTTTTCAATAGCTTACAGCAATAAGATAACTTCTAAAAGTGTGTGTGTGTGTGTGTGTGTGTGTATCTACACTAATAAAAGAAAGATGCAAATTGACTATACCTCTGTGACATCCACCAGCCAATCAGGAGTGAGTATGCAAATTAACCCAACAAAGATAGCGGATTAATTTGCAGGCGCCAAGCAGCCGGGGGTGGGGAGGCACCATGTGGCCTGGGTCCCAGGAATGGACTCTAAGCCTGCAGCCTCCTGGGACCATCGCCACCCTGGGAAGCAAGGGTGAAGGTGCAGCTTGACAGCAGGGCCTGCTTGGCTGTAGCCACAGTGACCTATGAACAGGCAAGTGGGCTCATAGACAGCATCCAGCAGGGCCTTCTTGCCCATTGTTGTGGTGTGGAGCAGGCAGGCCCCTCAGAGAGCAGAGAACCATGGAAAGCGGGCCTAAGCTATCAGTAGGAAGCGGGCTGAGGGACCCCCTCCCCCTCCCCACAATCCCTCCCCTGTGCAGGAATTTCATGCACCGGGCCTCTAACATACATACATACATATATATATGTGTATATGTATATGTATATATGTGTATATATATATATATATATATATATATATAATACAAATGTAGACTGCCTTCATTTTCTTCAGAATATGGGTGGAGAGAATAAGTACACAGAAGGAATTATCAAAGAAGTAGTTTAGAATGTAAGGAAATAGACGGAAGATGGGGAATGATAAACAATGAAGAAAGTAAGAAAATTTAGAGGAAAAAATGGAAGAAAGAAGAGATTAAAACAGGATTAAAACAGCCTTTCCAACACTCTCTATGTATTTCCATGAACAGTTCTTCAAATAAGAGTGTAATTTATCTGTTGCATTTTTATTTTTGCTTTAACCCTAGAAGGGAAAAAAAAGAAGCAAGACGAAGTGAGAAAGGAGTCCCAGACAGTATCTGGGATTTGGAATCACAAGAGGAAAGGGAAGGAATTACAAATCCTCAGCATCTCAGACCTCAGATAATTCTTATGGCTATCACACTGGGGCAGCTATCTTTGTTAATCCGAGAACTGCTCCTAAGGTCTGTTGTTCATTGTTCAGAGTACATGGCTTTGGTTGTTATTTAATATTTATTTATGGCACCTGTTTCTGCTTTGACATTTGGGCAATCATTGTTAGCATCCGCTTAACCTTTTGAATTATTGCTTCGTGGCTTATTAAAAAAAAGAGACCAGGCAAGAGTGAAGGTGAACTGGTACAATGTAGTTACCATACTGGAAAAACAACTCAAAATAAATGCCTGAGGCTGAGGCCAAGAGCCAGTCAGGTTTGGGCTCTGCCAACTCGTATTTGAAAGACATGCAATTTTAAAAATTCTCCATCCTGTCTTTTGTATAGATTACCACGTCTACTCCAGAGAAAGTTTGAAAGAAAGCCCTATGTTCCACTTAAAAACATTTGCAAAACATATCTGTACATTATTCTTTAGTACATGGATTTCTCAAGTAAATGGTTACATTAAATTAATATTCTTACTTTGCAGGAAGTTGGTGAGCCATCTAAAGAAGAGAAGGCTGTAGCTAAGTATCTTCGATTCAACTGTCCAACAAAGTCTACCAATATGATGGGTCATCGGGTTGATTATTTTATTGGTAGGATCATATGAGTTTATATATTAGTGTATATATCTTATGAAGATACCTAAATTTGGGATATGTAGATTCTTAAAAGTGTTTTCCAAGTGTGATTAGGAAAGCTGGGTGATGACAATTGATTGTCCTTTTCCTTCTTTTTATGATTGAAACTATCAATAATAAGATAAAAGAATATACTTTGTAATAACATTTCTTGGAAATTTTAAAAATAGAATTTATTTTGAGTATTAATACTACCTTTTGTTCAGATAGTAAATGTACTTAAAGATAATCATTTTGTAAAACTCTGAAATAGAATTCAGTGTGAAGCAAATCCTGTTGGAACCAACTTAGGAGCTTTGGATCTTCACATAATCCAACACTTTATAAGCTAATGTTATCTATAGCATAGTCCCATAGCTTATAAACAGTTGAATTTGCCTCTTTGATCCATTAAGATTGAATTGCCATTTAGAAAAGAAATATACTAGCCTTTCTTTAATGATTAATTCTTATAGTCATTAAGAGTTTAGAAAAATTGATGTGCTGTTTGCTTCAGAACTAATATATTTAGCTGCTTCTAGCAGTAGCTTGTTCAGAACTTACTCCTCAGTGGGTCACAGTTAAAAGCATAATGACAGAATTTGTTACTGGGGGAGAGGAAGATTTTTTGTTTCTTTAGCCTACATTTAATTGTAAATATTCAGTGAGTGATATATTTATTTTGAAATATTTGTTTAGAATATTCTCCCATTAATTTATCTTGCTTTAATTAATGTTTTAAAAATTTATTTCCCAGCATTACTTTAAAAAGATGCTTACTGATATGCTTCATAGGTTAAGATTTTGAAGAACTGTTTATCATGATCATGTCAGACTTAAATTTTCTATTGAATTTGGTTTTATTTTCTGATGCCATTATGTTGAAATTTGCCTTAGAAAATATTATTTAGTTAGGCATAAATTTCTATGTATACTAAATTTTAAAATAATAAATTTCTTCTTTAGCTTCAAAAGCAGTGGATTGCCTTTTGGATTCAAAGTGGGCAAAGGCCAAGAAAGGAGAGGAAGCTTTATTTACGACAAGGGAGTCTGTGGTTGACTACTGCAACAGGTAGTGTTTATTTCTTAGTGAAGGATAACTAAATAGTAACTTAGTATTATTTTCCATAGTTCTGAAGCTTCTTACCCATTTTCATTAATAAACCTAGTGATATTAAAACATAGCTCAAACATAGCTTTTACATGCAAACTGGATTTCTTCAGTACCTCTAGAAATACATTTATTTGGAGTTAGACTATCATTTTTATGATTTTGATTTGTGTTCTATTAACATTTGTACATTTGCCAGGCTGACTAAACCATGAGGTCAGCACTAAAAATCATACAACAGGGCCTACAGTGAACAAAAAAAAGTCTTTCTTTTCTAGAGTAAATGGTTGGGAGGTATTTTCTAAAAATTTGGCAGGGATTTCTAATAGACCTGTTGTTCCTGGGGTTTTTGTTTGCTTGCTCGTTCTTAGAGTGCCTACACACTGCGTATTTGCCAGTACCCTTCCATATTTTGTTATAGCGATGGCTAATTTATTCCTTGTAAAATCAAGGCAGCTGCAACATCTATTTTCTTGAATCTAAAATGAAGAATAGACAGTTCAGTAAATATTCATGTTTTTCATAATAAATACTCCTTTGGGAAAAACTTTTGATGGTGAGTGGTATACAAAAATCAGTTTCCTCTTGGAAATAAGTATTCTGTTTTTTCTTTTTGTTTTTTTTTCCCTTTGGTTTAAATAGTTATGCATATTTATTAAGCTGTTGATAAACCAAGTTGTTGTTGTTTTTTTTTATGACACTATAGTTTATAGAAGGTAGAAATTTGACATTTTAGAATATTTTATATGTATGGTAGGGAGGTACACATAGCAGTTTACTAGTATGTTGTCTAAAGACATTTAAAGTATTAGCCACGTGAGGCTCCTCTAGAAAACCAGTATTTCACAACCTTGTTTCTAAAGCTGTAAAGTTAAGGAATAATTAAGAATTTCTTAAAATTACCCTAGCTGGTTTGGCTCAGTAGGTAGAGCATTGGACTGTGGACCGATTCTAGTCCAGGGCACATGCTCAGGTTGCGGGCGTGCAAGAAGCAGCCAATCAATAATCCTCTCTTATTGATGTTTCTATCTCTCTCTTCCTCTCTAAAATCAATAAAAACATGTTTTAATTTTTTTTTCTTAAAATTTGTAGTTGTTAAAAACTAGAGTCTCAAATGGACCTTTCAGAAGTAATAAAATTTTCATTGTTGGAGCAGAGATAAGCTAATAGTGGTATAGTTGGTATTTTTCAGTACAGCCATTTGTATGTTTAGCACTCCAAAGTACAAATTTCCCTGCCTTGCCTCAAAATAGATTTTTATATATGGTATAAAAATTAAGTGATGTAATAAACACAAAAACAGAGAATGTTATGTAAATTACCCAGCGTCACACAGCTTATTATCAGAGCCAGAATTCTAAATCCAACAGACTTGCTCCAGAGAAGAAGAGAGAAACATCACTGATGAGAGAGAATCATTGATCAGCTGCCTCCTAACGCCCCTGTCATTGAAGATCGAGCCTACAATCCCGGCATATGCCCTGACCGGGAATTGAACTGTGACCTGGTTCATAAGTCAATGCTCAACCACTGAACCACACCAGCCTGGGCACAGTTCATGCTCTTAACCACTGCGTGCTATACTGTCTCCTCCAACAAAATGATGATACATTTAATGAAGTAGAAATTAAGATGAAAGATTCACCTTCCTGAAAGAGCAGGTAGCCTCTGCTTTCTGAAAGTTCACAAACGACCTACGTTATTTTATTTAAAATATATTTTTAATGATTTAAGAGATGAAGGGTGCGGAGAGAGAGACAGAAACACCAATGATGAGAGAGAATCATAGATTGGCTGTGTCCTTCACACCCCCTTACCAGGGATCAAGGCCGTAAACTGGGCATGTGCTCTTGACCAGAATTGAACCCGGGATCCTTCAATCTGAAGGCCGATACTCTGTCCGCTGAGCCCAACCTGCTAGGGCAACACCTACATTATTACAGTAACAGATTTATTTATAAAAGCAAAAATCCTCTTCAGATTTCTTTACATTAACAAAAATAGGTACTAAAAGTGAAGTGACACAAAGCAAATTTTTGAAAAGCAAGGTATACCCTTCTTTTGCTCCCTTTCAGTTTACAAAAGGTTTCCTAGGAACTCTCTTACTTTCAAATAGCAGGGAAAATAGAACTATTTGAATATTAAATCTATTATATAAGCCCAAATCTCTGAGAAGAGCAGCCAGCATTATTCCACATCTGTTGGCTTTTTAGGAGTATTGATACCTTGTTATATGAAAAGCCCAAAAGATCTGATTACAGAATACACTCATTTTTCATTGTGTATGTATGTATTCCCATTCATGTCAGATTGTCCTTTCTGCGCTAAAATGGGGACGCATAACTACTTACATTATTCATAGCCACTTCTAATATATACAACCATGGAGGCCTCATGATGGCCAGCCCTCATAGATTCCTGCTTGCTATAGACAGAAATACAAAAGGACACTTATCTAGTCTCATTTTCTGAAGCTGCTAAATGGGCTTGAGGGAGTCTGAAGACAAACAAAACAAGGAAGTGTAGGATAATACACAAAACAACCTTATCACATATGACCTAGTGCTTCTTTAAGTCCTGTTTCAAATACGAACTCTTCAGCCTTTAATCTAGCACCATCCTAACTCTCCCAGTGACTATATCGCCAACCCCCAGTCCAGAAATGTCCTTCCGACTCCTCTTCATATGCCACACTCATTCTCTCTTCTGGTCTTAATCATAACCTGCCACTTTTCCCAGATTGGTTCTCTCCCTCTCTCCTGTCTGCTTTTCAATATAAATGTCCCTCAAGTTCCATCTCCACCATGTGATATTCCTCAGGTCCTCCAACCCATATTAATCTTTATATCTGAAGTTCTACAGTATTTATAAAGCTGCTATCATATTATTTAGCCCTTAACTATTTTAGAATTGTTGCACATATTAGTTGTTTTTTTTTTAACTTCTTGGCAGCTAAATCTGAAGGCAATTGTAGGACTCTTATACTTTACTGTTACTCCATAGCACAATGTGGGCATTTGATGAAATCTCACCATTGTCACATAGGTGAAAGTCCTGGACACATATCTGGCATCTATAAATGTTTGTTAAACCTAAAGAAAACTTTCTTAAAAAATTAAAAGGCGAGGAAAGCAATTTAATAACTTGCCGCCTTTAATCAATTTATTCAACAAATACCTATTATATGCCAGGCCCCGGAAATACAAAGATGACTGTGCCTTGGTTTCTGCCTCCAAAACACCTAATCTAGTCTGTTAAAGAACATTCATGACTACTACAGTGCAGTGTGTTCCGTAAGGAAGACAGAGATGAGGAAACTTCAAGAATGGCTTCACAGGAAAAATGTGTCTTTTCAAATTTTGAAACATAGAGAGCTGATTGCCCAGCAAACGATAGGAGAAAGGATATTTGTTCCTGCAAAGGGCACAGAACAGGGAAGTCTGGGGAAGTAGGATAGGGAAGTATGAATAGTTCTGTGAAAATATCAGAGAGCTTTGTGTAAGTGATTTGTACTATATGGTGAACTTAAAGCTTAACTAAAGGAGGTCCTGATATTACAATAGTAAATGTCATCTCACATTTGAAGCATAAAGTGAATTGAAGTAAACCTATCAAGGAATAAGTAAATGATTCTACTTATTAATCTTACTACTTATTATAGAATGGAATGATGTTAAAATTAGTGATTTGTGAGACCAAATGTGTTTGTATATGTGTAGTCCATAACTATTCAAGAAATTCAAGGTTTTTGAATTTGAAATGAGAAGCATGGTGCCTGACATATATGTACTCAGATGGCTAACTGAGTACATATATGTCAGGCACCATGCTTCTCATTTAGTCCTAGAAACCCTTATGAAATAGCTACCACATTTAAAAAAAAATTTTATATGTATTTTTTTAAATTGATTTTAGAGAGAAGAAAGGAGACGAAGAAATAGATACATCAATGATGAGAGAGAATAGTTGATCAATCGGCTGCATTCCCCCTACTGGGGTTCAAGCCTGCAACCCAGGCATGTACCCTGACCAGGAATCAAATGTGACCTCCTGGTTGATGGGTTGATGCTCAACCACTGAGCCACATAAGCAGGGCTAAATGTGAACTTTTCAACAATTTGATGGGTTATAGTCTATTTTTCTTTTATTGGGGTGGGTCAACTGTGCAGGAGTGATGACAGAGCTGATTTTCCTACTGGCTCTGTGCACTTCTGTGTCTACTCACTAAAGGAAAGATTTTTTTCTCTTAAAATTATTCAATTTTTTAAAATTATTACTTTATTAAAAATAAATTTTTCCACTTAAAATGATATAGAAGAAAATCCGAATTAGTTATATAAAACACATTATCATTTGAGAATGTGTACTCAAGAATCTATGTGTATATAGATGTACTTTACATATGTGGAAACCTATAATATGAAATGCTGGTTTGTAACTAATATACAATGAATAGGATGTATTTTCGTTTTTATATTAAGTGGTAATGAATATTCCTGATAGAAAATCTGGAAATCACATAAATACAGAAGTAAATAAAATTAGAATATGTTCATTATAAATTTTTATAAGAAATTCTGGAATAAAAATTTGAAATCCCCCTTCATATTCAAATACCTACCACTACTCTTATCTCACTTTCTACTCATACATAGTTAATTATTCAGGGACTCATTTCAATTTTTTGTTGGTTTACATACATATGTATATGTGTAGCAGTTATTAATGGGGGAGTCTTTGAGGATATTTCAGACAGTTGCACATTATTTGCTGTATAGATCTTCTGAACAAGTAGAAGGCCAGGTGAGGATACCTAGAAGTTTGCTTTGTGGAGATGTGCTTGGGATGTACTAAGTGGGCTGCAGAAAGAAGCCCAGCCAGCCAGGTAAAAACCAGTGCTCTGGAAGGCAGAACATAATGACCAGAAATAAGTGATCATTTGGCAGGAGAGGGGCATCTAGTTAACAAGTGGTATGATGTGCTTGAGCAGGCCCCTGTAGGGGTAGAAAGATGGGTAATCACCATTAATAGGCACAGAGGGTGGTATTGAGTTGTGGTTTGGTGATTGTACTTGACTAGGCAGAAATGAAGACAAATCAGAAACTCTGAAACGAACATAAGATTTGAAAAGATGGCTTTTAGGTGACAAATATAAAGATTTTTCAGTAGTATTATAAGGTTAGAAATTTGAGACTTAACATTAAATAAAGCAGTCTTGGTTACTCTTAATGAATGTAGAGGAAACTTCATAAGGATAATTCCATACCTATATAATCTTGTGACTAAATTATATAGTTAAAAAAATGAAAATTAGATTGACAACTTTTATATACTCAGATTGACTATACAGTTTTTTTGTTTTGTTTTGTTTTTTTAATTAGAGGTGGGGTTGCTAATTGTAATTTCTCTATGAGTTGCCAATGTATGTCTTCCCTTGCTCATTTTATTTAGGTCTTGATATTTTTTGCTTTTCTGTCTGTATCTTATAATTGTCATACCTTTTTTTCTAAAGGCTTTTAAAGAAACAGTTTTTTCATCGGGCACTAAAAGTAATGAAAATGAAGTATGATAAAGACATTAAAAAAGAAAAAGAAAAAGGAAAAGCTGAAAGTGGAAAAGAAGAAGATAAAAAGAGCAAGAAAGAAAATCTAAAGGATGAAAAGACCAAAAAGGAAAAAGAGAAAAAAAAAGATGGTGAAAAGGAAGAATCCAAAAAGGTGATTTCATTTAAGTAAAAATCAAAAGTCATCATGTGCACAGGATTACTGGCATATGAGCAATCTTGAAATACTATGTAACAACCATTTAAGATAAGCATATTTGGGTTTTTATAAATACCATGGTTGAGAATTTTTGCTTCTGTATCTTAAAGATTAAGATTTCTTTGAATGCCATAGTGCTTTTTGCTTGTTTGTGCTTTTTTTTTAATTTTTTTTTTTAATTTAACTTGTGTTTTAATAGGAGGAAGCTCCAGGAACTCCCAAAAAGAAGGAAACTAAGAAAAAATTCAAGCTCGAGCCACATGATGATCAAGTTTTCCTGGATGGAAATGAGGTGAGAGTATCTAGTTGATAAGTAGAAATCCAGTTTTCTATAGGAAAATTTAGAATTATCTTTAATGCTTTCGCTAAGAAAATAATTTAGATAAATCTAACCATGTAGATATAAAATTTACTCTCTTTAAAAATCAATAATTTATCTGGCCTTAGCCAGTGTGACTCTGTGTTGGAACATCATCCATATACCAAAGGCAGGCGGGTTCAATCACCAGTCAGAGCATGTACAGGAGGCAACTGCTGGATGTTTCTCTCTTTCTCGCTCTTCCCCTTCCTTCCTTCCCCCCCTCTAAAATCAACAAAAATCATATTTTAAAAATCAATAATTTATCTGAATTAAGACATAAAATTTATGAAAAATCAGTCAGAATTAGGTTCAGCTGTGTATGAGTGATAGGAAACCTGAAATGACAGTTATTTAAAATAAATGCTTATTTTTCTATTATCAAGGAAATCTGAAGGATAAGCACTACAAATAATTGTAGATCTCAACTCTCCCTTCCATGTGAAGGATAATTCCCTCATGGTCTCAATTGACTGCCAACCTTGTAGCTGCATCCAAAGGAGGGAAGGAAAATGAGAGACCTGCGTCCTCTTTAAGGACACTTTCCTGGAAGCTGGCAGTTTCCTCTCTTTTTGTCTGGGTGGTCATTTACTTAGCCAAACATGCAGGATTTCCATTGCTATCAAAGGAAAAAGAGCAGAATGGTTAATTTAGTCATTAAACTAATACAAAAGTATTAGTTATATTCTGGCCATTGAATTGTTGTGAATTTCAAGATCTAGCTCTTCTTCCTATACCTAATACAAAATTAGTATGTGCAAAGTAGAAGTAGTGATTCTGGTGGTTATGAGTTTGAAATTCTAGGAAACCTTTTCAGAAAATATGTGCCCTAGGCTCATTTCAGACACAATTGCATGAGAGAGAGAGAGAGAGAGTGTGTGTGTGTGTGTGTGTGTGTGTGTGTGTGTGGTTCTGTAATGTCTCCCAGGGTGATTCTGATGTGAATCCATGCTTAAGAGCCACATAATTGAAGACCACACATCAAGCATTGGCTTTATGCCAATATTTTAATTTCTTTATTGGTTATGGTATCACATAATTGCCCTCATCCCCCTATTCCCATCCCAAACCCCTCCACATGTATGCCCCTACCCCCATGACCACTAGTTAGGCTTATACAAGTCCTTTGGTTGATCTCTCTTCCTTTTCTCTACCTTCCCCTGCCTTCTCTCTGAGGTTTGACAGTCTGATTGATGCTTCCCTGTCACTAGGTCTGTTTTTGTTCTTCAGCTTATGTTGTTCATTATTTCCCTTAGATGAGTGAGATCATGTGATACAAGAAATACACTTACAAGAACCAAAAATGAGACAAGCCGTAATGGTTACTTACTGAGAGGCAAATGATTCAGTCTGTAGTGTTTCTTTCTAGGTCAACAGTTCTCTTGAGTCCCAATTTCAATGTTGAACGTTTCCTTGTGTGTTCATGTCAGCAGTGATATTTCAGTTGTGGGTGGTGGACAAATGGTGGTGATGCAGGTCCGACCGTCTCTGGTTTGGTCGTCTTGGGCTTCCTTCAGCGGAGCACAGCTGCTGTCTGCTAGCACAGCGAGACGTCGTCAGCGTCTTCCATCTCTGGACTGTTTCTCTTCTGTCTTCATGGCTGGAGCAGTTGTCAATTCCACTCTATTGCAGGAATCCACGTGGTCTTGGAGTTATTTTCTGAAAATATACAAACATATTCTCGACCAAAAGTTAGTAAAGGAATATTTTCTATAAATTTGACTTGGGATCCTTTTTCATTTTTTTGCCCAAATGACTTTCCTCTGGCTTATTTTGACACCATGTATTTTTTTTCATGGCTTTCTTGCTGTTAGCATTACAAATGAAACTTAATTTTCTAAAGTACAAATTTTCTAGATGTAATTTACTTAATAGGACATTTTTCCTTACATGATATTCTTCTACTATCACCCCATTTTTTAAAATTTAAATATTAGGAGGCTTTGGGGAATTTTATAATGTAGTCTTGATAACTTTTACATATTAATTTTTTGCTCTAAAATATGACTGCTTTAGGTTCATTACATGTTATGCAATTTTACCATGAGATAAATTGGCAATCAAAATTTTTGTTAACACTTTAAAACAGCTTTTGGTACAGTACATTCAGTTTTTCTAGAATATTCGCTTGTTTCAATTAGCTAATTTAAATTACTCTGAAAACTTGACTACTATTCTACTGTCAAACTCAACACTCTAACAATCTTATTTTACCCTGTGTATATTAGTGGAAAGGATTATTTGCCTTCTTGAGTAGGCCCTGAGCATTCTTGGTTCTAGGCTGGATTTGGATATCAAAAACCCACTTTCCCTCACCATGGGTACAAGACAGCTCAAACAAGTCTTGTTGCAATGAGATGGCATCTGCTGTCGGCCAAGTCTCTGTTGCCTAGGTTCCTATTTGAGCTGGGCATGGAAAGCAAAGCAGCCAGCCATGGGGACAAGAGACCTCCCTCAGAAGGGGTTCAGGCCCCTGCAAAGTTGGGGAGGGAGGTAAGGGTCTGTGCCCCATCTTTGTGACCCCCAAGTTCTCTCCTGATGCCCCTCTGCGACTGTGCCTGTCTTAGATTGTTCCTTCTCTGAGGAATCTTACCAGTCTCTGCTAACCAGCAATCCTCCGGGGCCCAAAAGGGTGATGTGAGGTTCAGTTCTGTTTCCTATGCCCCCGTGGCTTCCACGCCTTGGGATCCCCTCTCCTGCTGGCGAGGCCCTGGCACTGATCACATATCTTGGAGAACCCAGGTTTCTTCTCCAGGGAGGGCCCAGCTCAAAATATTTTTTATAGATTTCTAGGAATAGCATGATACATATTCTCTTCTTAGATGCTCTTATTGTCTAGCATTACAAACTTTGAAACATGGTACTGTGTTACAGTGTATTAAGTGTAATGATGTGAGAGTACAGATGAAAGGTAGTTAATGTAATCAAGAGCATAAGGTAGTTCTGAAGATCCTAAACACTTGAACTGAGCCTTGAAAGATGATTAGCACATTACCAGGTGTACCAGGAAGGTGTTATAAACCTGTTAGGCAAATGAAGTAGTTTGAGCAAAAGCATTCCTGAAAAAGCTAGATTTTATTCTGTAGAAAGATGTAGCAAAGAATCATGCTTTCAAACGTACAGAGGTGGGAAATGTCTTAAAAATTGTTTTTTTAGAATGCTAACTTGCAGAAGTGATGTCTGGATCTGATTCCCAGGGGAAATGTGCAGAGTTAAAGAAAAGAAGAATGGAATCTCCAGTGTTCCATTCAAGAAAAATAGAACCAAATCGAAAGACAGTACCAAAGAGTTCTGGTCAAAATACAACCAGGAAATGGAAGGAGTATTGTTGTTTATAGAAATTAAGAGATAAATCTAGGAGTTTTGTGGTTATGATTATGCAGAGTTTGATTGTTCTGAATGAAGTCAGTTTCTGTTCTATAAAGTAAATTAATCTTTAAAGTAGTGGTTTCCAGTGTATGGGCTACAGACCTTCCCTGGGAAAGTAAGCAATGAAATTATTACAGGGGGTCATAGCATCTTTACGCTTCCTAAGCATGATATTTTAATAATGGTTTTTTGTATCTTATCCATGGGAAAGAAGAGGGTGAGGTTGAGAGCTGCCAGATCTGTACTAAGTCTGGCTGGAATCTATTTAACTGTGCTCTTAACCTAGACTATTCTGCTCATGCAGTATACATAATTATATTAAAGAAAAAAAAGGTAAATTTTTGGTCTTCAGGTTGAGTAAGTAATAGTTTACACACATGAACAAATTATTAAAAACATGTAAGTATGTAGAAATTTACTTAAATGCATTACAGAATTTATAGGGTTTTTTTTAAACAATGTTCTTACTGGAGACAAAAACAAAACAAAATACTACTAAAGGGGAAAGGTCTTTGAAATTTGTTTACCTTAAAAAGCAGTTCTCAGATGTGAAGAGGTTAGAAATTACTCTTGTAGACCTAAAACAGAATTGAGCTTAACTTTCTAATGTGACCATAAAACTTAAAGCACTGTGGTTTCTTGATTCCTTAAGGTATTCGTGTGGATCTATGACCCAGTTCACTTTAAAACCTTTGTCATGGGACTAATTCTTGGTAAGTACAGTCTCTAAAATTTAGAAAGGAAAATAAAAATGCAGATGCCATAAAGAAAAATATTTAATATACAAGTTATTTTTTTAAAATATACTTTAAAGTCAGAAGCTAATGGATAAAATGAAGAGAGTATTTGCAACACATTAAAGCAAAGATATTTAACAGATTAACAACCTGATAGAAAAATGATAAAGATAGCTCAAAGCTAGAGAAATATGTGACCAATAATCATGAATGATACTTAATCACACTCATAATAAATATAAAGCAGCAGCAATTAAGAGAATTTCAGAGTTTGATAATATCTAGTCTTAATGAAGTTAGTCTAACTTCATGGGAAGCACCAACACTCTCCAACAACTGATAATACCTTTTCAGATTTTAAATGTATATACACTGACCCAGCTATTCTACTTCTCAAAATTTATCCCATGGCTGTTCTTTTTTCTCTCTCCTCGTCTGAGGATGTATTTTTATTGATTTTTTTTTTAGGGAGAGAGAGACAGAGAGCAAAAGAAACATTGATGTGAAAGAGAGAGACATCAATCAGTTGTCTCCCATGTGCACCCTGACCAAGGATCAAACCCACCACCTTTTGGTGTATGTGACAGTGCTTCAAGCAACTAAGCCACTCAGCCGGCGGGCCATGGCTGTTCTTAATACAGTTGCACAGAGAGTCTATTCAGAAGTGTGCATTGACACTGTTATCTATTCAAATCCAAATCCCTCAGATTATATTTAGGAGGGTAATTAGCAACTGTCTTTCAAATTTTAAATACCTATACCTTTTGACCTAACAATTACACCTCAACTAATTTATCTTGTGCTGTAATCAGTTGCACAAATGTATATATAATTTGGTATTTGTTGAACTGTTGTGTATACTAGGATAAAACTAGTAATAATTCATATTTAGTAGGAAATTACTCAGAAGGAAAATGATGAAACTGCCCACTAGAATACAATGCAGCTTTTAAAGAATTAGGTAGAATGTACTGGTAGATATCTAGAATCAATGAAATGAAAAAGAAGTTGCAAAAGAGTAAGTCTAGTATAAGCTTATTTAGGTAGAAAAAAATTTCATGTAGCAAATTTAATTTTATATAGGCAGTCTCTGCTAATTAACTTCTGGGGAGTAAACCAAGAATTGGATGAAGACCTCCCTTTATACCTTTTGCTTTGTTTTTATTTGTGTGGATTTTTGACCATGGGTATGTGTTATTCAGGGTCGGGGGCATGGGTGGGCTGGGAGAGAATGATTTAACAAGTAAAAAAAAAAAGCAGTTGATCAATAAGGTATCATAGGATTCCATTCAAAAAGTTGAAACTCAATTCCAACCCAAATATCTGATGGCTGTTGATCACCTCCTAAGTACTAATAATGTTGCTAAATATTTTATATGCATTATTTCATTTCATCCTTATAGCAACCCTTAAAAAATAGGAACAGATACGTATTAAATATAAAGTAATCTAGCTTCAGCAGGGTTTAATAACTTGCCCAGGGTTACTTAGCTTATAAATGATATAGCTAGAATTTAATTCTGATCTTTTTGTTCTAAAAACCTAATAACCAGACTTCTTATTTTTTACAATTATTCAGTATGGTCCCACTGTACTTAGAAAAGAAACTACCAAAAATCATCTGTATCACTACCTGAATGCACCTAAATATAAATAGTGGTGATAGTTATGATTTGTATGTTATTTTTTATACTTGTCTGCATTTTTAAAATACACATATATGTTACCATGAGGAAAATCCAATAAATATTGTCTCTATAAAGATTTTTCCACATAGGATGGATAGTTCTAATATAATTTTTCAATTTGGGAAAGAAGTAGGAATTTTCCTTAACTTTCCAAAAAGTTCACCACAAGGTGACCTTTTCAATTTGTATCTGTCAGAGCTCCATCCCAGAATCAGAATTTCTAGAGAGGATCTATTGAATTTTTGTTGTTGTTATTGGGTTGTTTTTTTAAGCTCCCCTGCTCAGTAGACAGATATAGTCAAAAATAAAGTAGATTTGCTGGAGAACAGTAGCAATTGATCATTTAAGGAGCTAACAATTTTGCATTTTTTGATAGCACTTTTTTTCTAACTATATGTAATTTATAGTAGAAAAATCTTAACCTAATTTAGGAACAGTAGTTAAAATGTTAAACAGAATTATAGGAAATGGTTGATAATTGACCATATTTTACCTACAAAAAATGGCAATTTTTAATATATCCTTTATAATGAAAGGCTAATAAGCAAATCGACCAAACGGAGGAATAACTGGTCACTATGATGTGCACTAACCACCAGGGGGTAGATGCTTAATGCAGGAGCTGCCCCCTGGTAGTCCATGCACTCCCACAGCAGGAGCACCGCTCAGGCAGAAGCTGGGCTCATGGCTGACAAGCGCAGCACCCAATGGCGCTTGTCAACCATGAGCCTCTCCCACCTCCTTGGCAGCGTAAAGGATGTCCAACTTTTGGTGGCGAGCGGGCCTTAGTCAGCAGTTGGACATATCCCCCGAGGATTCCTGGACTGCGAGAGAGTGCAGTCCGGGCTGGGGGACCCTCCCCAACCCTCCCAGTGTACAAATTTTGTGCACTGGGCCTCTAGTTTTTATATATTTATGTTTCAGTTTTCCCCCCTAGGAATATATTCACTGTTACATCATCATGCCATTTAAAATTTTAATCTAAAAGTTATCTATGTAACTTTGTCATTTCTTATTCCAGTGATTGCAGTGATAGCAGCCACCCTTTTCCCTCTTTGGCCAGCAGAAATGAGAGTGGGTGTTTATTACCTCAGTGTGGGTGCAGGCTGTTTTGTAGCCAGCATTCTTCTCCTTGCTATTGGTAAGTATTGTTACTAGTAAAACTGACTTCAACAAGGTAGATATTGAGTATTTAGAACTGTAGTCTGAAGCGTTAGTAATTAACAGCATAATTTAAATTGGTAAATAAAAAAGTGTATGGATTTACTTTTTGGGTCATATCCCAAATCTGACTCAGATGGGAATAGTATATATGCTTGATTAGATTTGGTCTGTTCTGAAGAAAAAAGATTTAATATGGCTTAATGTGCACATTGATAGGCTTTAAAAATTAGCTACCACAAGGATGTTAATATTTTTACCATGATTGTTTTTTTTAGACATATTTTCACTAATTTATATTTTGACTTAAGGCAAATGAAACATATTAAACATTTAAATTATTTTATATATTTAATAAATGATTCTAAATAATTGATTTTCATTAGGAAAAAAATCAGTTTTATCCATGTGCCAAAATAAGTTCTAGATGCATTGGGGAGTTTTAAAATGTTTGTGTTTTTTTTTTTAAATCAAACGGGAACACATAAGTAATTTTTTTTTTTTTTACATTTCTGGATGTCTTTCATAGCTAAAAACAAAACAATATAAAAAACCCAGTTTAAAAGAGAATATTAAAAATAAGTGATTAATAAATACATGAAAAACGTTCATCACTAGTAATCAAACTATAATAAAATAATGAAGTGGGGTTTGTCTATTTAATTAGGAAGATTTTTTTGAAATGAAAGCACTCAGTGCCAAGAAGGGTTTGACTGGAAGGAAATGTACATCACTATAAATAATGGTGGTAGTTATGAGTGATTTTAATGGTATTTTTTACACCTGTCTGTATTTTTTTACAATGAGCATGTTACTTACCATGAAAAAATTCAACAAACATTATTTCACTTAAAATCCTAGTCTTTGAAGATTTTCTGACACTGGGTGGGCAGGTCTAATTTAATTTTTCGCTTTGGGAAAGGAATTTTTCTTAGCTTATTCAAAGTTATCTAGTGATTTTTTACTTATATATAATTCTTGAACCATCTAGAGCAAGCCTGTCAAACTCAAAGGCTAACATCGTCGAAATAAACGGAGTTTGATATGCTTGAGTTTATGTTAGCATGTGGTACTGATTTCTGATTATTTTTTCCAACTGATAAATCAACTTTTCCACCAAGGCATATAGGAGTACTTCTGTATAAAAATTAAAAACAACACCCACATTATTGATCTAGTACCTATTGTTAGAGGACATAATTTGACCAAGAGTCTCTGAAGTGAGTGCAAGTTATTCTGAGGCTCTATGATAATTATAGACTCTTATATTTATAAAGCATTACTCCTACAGCCCTAAGCAATTTCCTTCTGTATATGCCTTCATCCTAGACATCAAGATAAGTTTTGAGTTGGTGCCTCCATCCATGGGCCCAGGAGCTCAGCTAGTGTCTTCGCTCAAGTGGGTTTACAGGCCTCTTTTTTCTATCAGATCTCTGACTGTGTGAAGCCTTTCCACCCACCTTTCATTTTTTTTCTTCTTCTAGCTTAGTCACTTTGAGAAAATCCCCTGATGCTTTGCATGTAATATAGCACATTTGTAGACCAAGACATACTGTGAAGCAGGTAAATAGTGGTAGTGAATCAAGAATGAGAAGCCATAACTTTAATCTGACATTAGATATAATCAAATGGTGTCTTCTGGCCATTCTCAAACCCTTGAAAATTGAGAAGCCTTTGAAAATTTTCAGCAAAGGTTTAACTCCACTGAATAGAATTAATCCACTTGCTTATCATTTTATTTTTTTAATCCTCACAGGAGGAGTTGTTTGTTTTAGAGAGAGAGGAAGGGAGCACGGGGTGGGGGGACAGGTAGGGGGAGCAGAGAGAGAAAGGAAAAAAGAAAAATATCAATGTGAGAGAGACACATTGATCGGTTGCCTCCCATATGAGCCCCCAAAACTGCAACCTGAGTACATGCTCTGACCAACAATTGAACCAGCGATTCTTGGGTGCATGGGACAATGCTTTAACCAATTGAGCCACACTGGCCAGGGCCACTTGCTTATCTTTTACTTAAACCACTATTCACAATAATTGATGATTATTAGGTCACGTTGCATTTTAAAATACTGCTTCTTGCCTGGCTGATGTGTCTCAGTGGTTGAGTATCTACCTATGAACCAGTTCAGTTCCCAGTTAGGGCACATGCCTTGGTTGTGGGCTCGATCCCTAATAGGAAACGTGCAGGATGCAGCTGATCAGTGATTCTCTCTCATCATTGATGCTGTTATCTCTCTCCCTCTCCCATACTCTCTCCGAAATCAGTAAACATATTTTTTTAAGAGACTATAAAATAATGTTTCTTCAGTGTATTTTCTATAATTTTTTATTTTAAATATACTATGGATTTAAATAGGATGTATTAAATAATCTTGTGAATTAAACCAGAAAATAAACCCAACATTTTGTTGTTTTTGTTAGAAAATTCAATTCCAAACCATTTAAAATATGACCTTTTGCAATTTTCTAAATGTGTCCGTCTTAGTGTTAGAAACAGTATGACTATATATGTGACTGATTTATCCATTAGTCTTCTCCTTTTGACCCTAGTAATTTGAGGTCACATAGAGAAAAACCATAGCACATGTTAGAATTCTGCTATGCCCAGTTTAGATATGATGAGAACTTAGATTTTATTTGTGCTATATCTATATTGCTTTTTCTTGGATTTGAGGGAAAATTTCATACTGTGAACCATCTGTCTTACAACCCTATAAAGCCTATCATAGCATCATAATTATATTTGGAGAAAAAATTGTGTACAAGCCTTCTTAAAAGATGTTCATTATTTTTTATTACTAGAATTTATTCTTAAATCACAATTTCCAACATATTTGCCTTTTCTGTTTGTAGCACAGTCTTTTAGAATATTTATATTCTTTTATGAAAATAGAAATTACTGCCTAGCTGGTTTGGCTCAGTGAATAGAGTATCGGCCTGCAAACTGAAGGATCCCAGATTTGATACCAGTCAAGGGCACATGCTTGGGTTTCAGGCTGGATCCCCATTAGAGAGATGTGCAGAAGGCAGCTGAACAATGATTTGCCTTCATCATTGATGCTTCTCTCCCTCTCTCTCTCTCTCTCTCTCTCTCTCTCTCTCTCCCCCCGAAATCATATATATATATATATATATATATATATATATATATATATATATATATATATATATGAAAGAAATTACCATTGCATAAAAGTCAAGGCAGCTAAAGCCATTTTTTTTTTTTTTTTTTTTTTTTTTTTTTTTTTTTTATCCAAAGCAAAATATACATGAGCTTTTTTTAGGGCTTAGATGAAAATAGTGATATTATTGTCTAAAGAAACAAACAAAAACCTAATATACTTGACTAGTCTATAACATTCATATAATCATTATGACTCAGCTCTATGTAATTGGTAAATTAAGAGGAAACTAAATTGTGACAACTCATTGTGATAAACTTTAAAATTCTTTAATTCTTCTATTAACTAACCACAGTTTTATCATATATTACTCTGGAGGTAACTACAAACTATTTGTTTAAGTGATCTGGCTTCCATTAGTATTATATTATTTTCTAATATTGGGAAGGGTTTTTGTCCTTTAAGAAAGCAAAATTTTTTAATTTTTAAAAAGTATAACTTCTAGGAAAATGTTCTCTTATTGTTCAAAAGTTCTCACTTAGAAGACTTATCCTGTAGACAGAGTAGGCAGGTGGCCTTGAATTCAATGTTTTCATTTTTTTAAAAATCAGAAGTAATAATATGTATACATAATATATATATAGTAATGAATCTATGCAATGTTATGTTTGTATTTATGCCAATATGGACATAAAAGTATAATTTTTAATTTTTTCATGGAGAATTGCCGAAGAACTTAAAGTCTAGGGAAGTCATCGTGCAGCCCTGCTTTTTCCTCTTTAGAGATTTCTTAGATGCCTTCATTCCTTACTCACGTTTATTTTCTTTTTCTTATACCATGTTCTTGTCCATACTTACTGTGCAACTGATGGTTGTGCTTCTTAAACTATTACATAGCAAATTGCATAAACCATAAGAAACAGCACCCATCTGGAAAAGACATAGAAGTAACTTTTTGAATGGCATTGTAGCATTTTGCCTTCAAGTTCAGAACAGAATGTTCTGTGCCTAGAATACTGTGATAGCTGCTAAACTAATCAGAATTTAATTGTTTAATCTAGGGTACATGTCAAGTGCAAATAATAACACACTGAATGTCTTCTCAGTTTTATCTTAATAAATTTTCCCTGCTGTCAGAGTCAATGTTTGCATTATTTAATTAGAGAAATTTTTCTTCCACAGCTCGTTGCATTCTGTTTCTCATCATTTGGCTCATAACTGGAGGAAGGCATCACTTTTGGTTCTTGCCAAATCTGACTGCTGATGTGGGCTTCATTGACTCCTTCAGGCCTCTGTACACACACGAATATAAAGGACCAAAAGCAGACTTAAAGAAAGATGAAAAGTCTGAAACCAAAAAGCAGCAGAAGTCCGACAGTGAGGAGAAGTCAGACAGCGAGAAAAAGGAAGAGGAGGAGGGGAAAGTAGGACCAGGAAATCATGGAACAGAAGGCTCAGGTGGAGAACGGCATTCTGACACAGACAGTGACAGGAGGGAGGATGACCGATCCCAACACAGTAGTGGAAATGGGAATGATTTTGAAATGATCACAAAAGAGGAATTGGAACAACAAACAGATGGTGATTGTGAAGAAGAAGAAGAAGAAGATGATGATGACAATGATGGAGAAACAACTAAATCTTTACATGAAAAATCATAATCTGCCTAATTTGGGGACTAAAAAAGTGCAAGAGGTTGGATTTTCTATGTTGGCTGATCATCATAATGCATACCTGATATTTGTAGTATTCTTTAAGTCCACTTACTGAAATGTATTTGACATCCAGGGACTATTCAGTCCTTCATTTCATAGAATATTGGTACAGTCAAAAGCCATTTATAAGTTTTATCTTTTTGATAATTTTACAGTACATTGATCTCATTAATTTTGATAGTTGTCAAAGGTGCACTTTCCACAATGACATTTAGATTAATGGCATTTTTGATAGTTGTATGGCTTTTTACTGTTAGACTAATCAAAATAATTAAGTGGGTAAAAAAGAAACAATAAAATTTCAGATTGTGTGCAGTTATGTAGCCATTTCAGTTTCATTGAGATGAAATGCTTAAACTCACTGTTTTTGACAGTTAACTTTTGTTGATTATAAAATTACATCAAGAAATTTCTAGGATTCTGAATTAACAGGGTTCAAAAGCATTCTGTGGAAACAAGCCAACTAGTATACTGAAACAGCACTTGCAGTTTAGCTACAAATTCTCCTTTTCCAGCTTAGGAAATCCAGACTGGTTTGTACATCGGATTCAGAGAGGGTGGTTATCTCCAACAGAGAAAGCAAGCAGCGCTGAGTAGGAGGTGATGGCTCTTCTCCCCATTTCCTTGTCGTAAAGTAAAATGTATTCTGTATATAATTTACAAATAAACGTTTTATTTTAATTGTTACTTATTATTTAGACGTTTTCCTAACACTTAAATTTGTAAAGGGTATGTTTTTAGAGAAATGGAAGTTCCAATAATCCTCAGAACATCTGTGATCTTTCTACAGCAGCTTCAAGTTTTGTGCCAACATTCCATGTATTTGAATGAGTTAAAACAATCCTTATTAAATAAGAACAGACTTAAATTAGCTGTTTGTACGCCTTAATGTTCATTTTGATTTATCTTAAATCTCTACATTCTGAAGTGGGTACTGTATTATCAGACCTGGAGGCACTGCTATGAAAGATAATTCACTGTTCTAAATTATCAATTTAAAATAAAGAGCATACAAGAAAACATAAAAAAACCATTGGACTCTAATTGCTTTGAACTAGTTTTGCAGTTTGATTTTGTATCTTGCATATCTTAGTTACAAATCTTTGGGAAAATCTTGAATTTATAAGCATAATCATTCCTTGGAGTTATACTCTTATAAACTGATAATGAACATTAAATTATTTTCCTTCAATCACAGTTGAGAGCATTTTGCTTTATACTTTAAATAGGTGGAGTGTGTAGATCTTGATTTTTCTTTAGCCTGTTTCCATCTCAGTGTTTAAAGATATTAAGTTTTCCTATTGTGAAAAAATATACTTCCTGTGAACTGACACATTTTGTTACACATAGCTTTATTGTCTTTTTTTTTTTTTTAAGCTTTTTAATACTTCTTGAAAGTAGACAGAAGTGTGGTTGGTTGGTATTAATGTAACTCTATCAAGGCTGCAGTCATTTTAAGTTTTCTCCTAGTAAATATTTATTGATTTAAGTGGGCATTTTCCCCTCACATTTTCAGAGCTCTCCATAATTTCTGCAGTAAGAGATGCATAATTATACTTCTGAGCTTCTTAACTACCAGTAGCATTAATACTATTTTGGGTTGTGGTAATGGTACCAAAAGTGTTTTTTCAGAAATAAAAATAACCTTTACTACTATGACAATACTCAATATTTATTTTAAATCTCTTTATAATATATGCATTATATCTCCTCTTAAAAACCTTTGTTGCATGGCAGGAAAGTCAGCTTCTTAATAATGTTTATGTGTTCCTACAAAATGTTAGTACAAATTTTTATAAATATCTGGTGGGTCCCTGGGGGAAATGTCATTCTTTGTTAGAAAGCAAGTTAGAAATTTCAGCTCGGTGTCTTACTGTTTAAGGTTGTGTCCTTTAAACAAATACAAAAATCAAAAGGCTGCCACTGTTATACCCTCAGAGTAGTTGGCTGTCTTTGTTGGCTAATATTAAATATTCTTATGCCAGAGCATGGAGAACTGTTTACAGCCAATGAAATGGTGATTTTTAGAAAAAGAACTTCAGGTTTGCCATGCTATGAAAAGTCTAAGTGTGAAGCTTTGGGATCATGTAGGATTGATTTATTGTGGAGGGAGTATAAATAGGCCTAACTAAGCAGGATTGACTTCACCAACTGAGTCCACATAAGAACAGTGCATTTGTGACTTGTTAAAATCAATGTGTTAAATACATTGTTTTTCTTTTTACCTCTATTGATTTCTTTAGTTTGCAGTGGTGATGGTTTTTAATATTTCTCCCCTTTCTGATTTTATATTATTAGCTGCCAACTATAGAAAAATCATCTTCTATCTTTTGTAAATTGATTTTTTTTATCTTTATTAGGAACTGGAAAATAACAAGTACAGTTGATTGTCATTAGTGGTAGGTTAGTTCTGTAAAGTCACCACCAAAATGCAATTAACAAATACTTCCCCAGGCTATTGTTCTGTGAGCATCTGGTCACATTTTCATTAGCCAATAATAAACTCGAGGTGTCTTTTTGTCCTATTGATTTATTAATGTTGAACTCATGGTCAATAGCACTATAACTTCATGCCTGGACAAAGCTTATATAATTTGTGCATTTTCTGCAAAAGGCATTTCACAGCCTTTATCTATTAGAAATACTAGACAGCACTACATTGGAGGGCCATTTTAAGCAGCAAGATCATAAAAAATGACAACAAAAAAACTAACACCAACCTCGACTGGTTTGGCTCAATGGATGGAGCATTGGCCTGCGGACTGAAGGATCCCAGGTTTGATTCCAATCAAGGGCATGTACCTTGGTTCTGGACACATCTCTGGTAGGGGATGTGCAGGAGGCAACTGATCAATGTTTCTAACTCCCTCTCCCTTCCTCTCTGTAAAAAATCAATAAATATATATATATATATATATATTAAATAAATAAATAAATAATAAATAACACCAGCACTAAATAGAGCTAAGGACATGGTTAAAATGAGCTGGAACAAGAAAAGGGTATGTCACCTTGTCAGCCTCAACTTGGGAACATAGGCATTGGGCAAGTCAAATTTCTCACCACTACACATGACCATGAAAGCACATAGAACATTTTAGAATGGGCAAACTTGCAAATCCGAATCGACGAATAATGAGAATTGACTGTACTTTATTATAAAGCTGTGACATACCTACAGAATAGAATTTATTGCTCAATCGTGCTCCAGTATTTCTGGAACATTTTAAATATCCACTCTGAAAGTAAATACTTCGTTCCTAATTGTGTGTGGTAGTTTGCTTTTACTTTTTCAACAATATTTCAGTTTCACTTACTCAGTAATGCTGAGCACTTCCATGTGCCAGAATTTTACTAGGCATGGTCATGAATAGAAATACAGTTCCGCCCTTTTAGACCATCAAAGAGTGTAGTAAGCGCTCTAGTGGGGATTTGCCAAACGTGCTGGGTATCTCTCAGTCTCCAATTCCTCTCTGCCCTGTCCCATGAGCTGATGAATGGACCACAGCTCCTTTGCCTCCTGACCTCTGGATGGGTTTGGCCAAGGAATGACCAGTGGTCTGAGGGTGATCAAGGTATTTATTCTTTCGCCTCTCACCCAGTGGGGCTGCGTCAGCAGGCAGAGGTCACTACTTCCAAACTTCCCTTCACCACTTCCTGTTTTCTTCCCTTCTGGGCTAGGGTTAAGGTACTAGCATGGAGTTACTGAAGCTACTGTGACTTAACCCTGTAGCTCCCCTACCCCTCATCTTTGTTTGTGTCTTCTCAAAGTATCTTAATGTAAGAACAACCTGTTTCCTGTTAGAACCAAGGCCAATAAACCAAAGAACAGGAATTCCAATGAGTGTATCTCTGACAGGTCTTATCACCAAAATCTGCTAGAAAGCGTCTTACCACCTTCATTACAGAGCATGTCCTAAGGGTTTTGATAGCCAAAATCCAGCTCTAGTGCACATCTATGCAGATAACTACACAAAAATTAATTTTACTTCTTTGATAAACCCTTAAGCCAATGTTTGTGGCATTTGTTTGGGAGTTTCTGAGTAGATCCGCTCTTAAAACATAGCCCAGAGACCCTTGTAACTTAAATCCCATGGCTTTTCCAACCAGATAAAATTGTCAGTGAGATTTCTGTCATTTGGAACTGAAATATGACTGATTTGCACAATATAAGTATAAACAGTGACACTGAGGCACCTTTTGAGGGAATTGACTCAAAGCAGGAAAATGCCATAATCAAATTTGCATCTTTGATTACACTAACCACATTAAAATGAGCAAGTGTAGAGGGAAGAAGAATGATATAGTGACCATCAAATTTTCTATTTCTGATGCTTTTTAAAAAATATATTTTATTGATTTTTTACAGAGAGGAAGAGAGAGAGAAACATCGATGAGAGAGAAACATTGATCAGCTGCCTCTTGCACACCCCCTACTGGGGATTTGCCTGCAACCAAGGTACATGCCCTTGACCAGAATCAAACCCGGGACCTTTCAGTCCACAGGCCGATGCTCTATCCACTAAGCCAAACCGGTCTTGGTCTCGGCTATTTCTGATTCTTAGATTTACATATTCTAACCACAACTCCCCTCTTGTTTTCAAATAATTTTAATCTTTTTCTTATTAATATTATGAACGACTCAAAATACTTAAAAGTGAAAATAAGGAAATATAAAACCCCCAAATCTATCCTTCAGGAACAACCTCTTTCAAAACTCATATACATATATATGGCCTTCTAAACCCTTACATGTCTGACTGTGCATCCAGTGAAGAGGGAAAAGGTATTAAGTAAGTGGGATCATACCATATGTACCTTGCACTTAGAATATAAAGAATTGATGGCCGAAACAGGTTTGGCTCAGTGGATAGAGCGTCAGCCTGTGGACTGAAAAGTCCCAGGTTCGATTCCAGTCAAGGGTATGTACATTGGTTGCGGGCACA